GATTTTTATTGAAATAGCTACAAAAAATTGCGGATTGCACATTCATTGCTTCGCAGTTTTAATTGCTTCTTCTGATGGTAGTTTTTACGATTTGATGAATGGTCGAATGAAGTAGTAAGATCGATCATCGTTTTCTGTCAGTCGATTATTAGCATCATTACGCTTGGCATTAGCTTTATCCTTGTTGCAGTGACATGGTTCCACTAAGTGTCGATGATTCCGTGCACCAAAGTTGTCATATGACTGGTATCCATTTGTCTAAAAAACGTAATTGTTAGTTAGGTACGGATTCCGGTGTTGCTTAGCATTCCATCTCATGCCTGTACTACAGGTTCCGTGCTACGTTTTCGCTTGCTGAGTACGACGGATTGCTACATATCAGTGAAAGCGTAACTTCTTGCTGCTCCATAACTTCTGATCAGTAAGAGGGTTTTCTCATTGCACCACTGGAGCGGCAACTTTCGATATGAGGTAATGATTAGGATAGTTTTCGATATGAGGTAATTGCTAAGCAATAATAAGGTTGTGATAAGTAGTAGTAAAAAAACATGAAAAATGGTATAAATATTTACAGCAAAAGGAGTAGGGTGGAAATAAAAAGTTGAGATTAGAGATAACTGAAATGGAATGTTTCGGTCCATTAAGTCGCATACATTCCAAAACAGTACCACCACAATTTCACCTCGTCAGTACGACGGATGTGGTAGATAATAAAAATATATTGATTGTAGATAAATTGTAAATTGAGCTGTGTAGCTGTTTCACCAAAGGCAGGCAGCTAAAATCTTGCCAGACGCTTTTGTCGACAGAGTTGTTGAATCATTTCAAGGTACCAAATGAATGTCAGAATCGTTAACAAATTGACCACCAGACGATACAGCACTAGTCAAAGCAGATGAAGAAGTTGTCAGCTGCATAGCTGGAGAACTATGGTGTGAAGTGCTGCCGACGAAAGTATTAAAGTATGTTTTTGGTAATTTAACTGCAGAAGGTTCATACAGTGAAGAAGGAAAAATAGATTCATACTTTCTTACCTCCCCGCCCTTTTCACTTGTTTTTCCCGCAGCAAGTCCTGAAGGACTCATTCTGATATGATTATGCTGGACCCGAATGTACTTTGTGTCATTCTTGCTACCACTTACCATCAGTAGATCAGCTTGCCAATCCAACAGACTATAGCCTTCCTTGAAATGTCGCTGGTTTAAATCGAGATTCTGAAACAAAATTTAACTTTTTAACAAAATGCTCATTTCGAAAAAACCTCGGCATACACTAACTGTAAGAGACGAAGGCACCCGGAATTAATCGCGTGCTTCCGTACATGCGAACAACCACTCGGGGGCGAAGCTGTCGATGCTTCCCTTTTACAAGGTTCTGGAAGGCCAATATTCTTTGTTTGTGAAAAGTCACTGAAATTTTTTGTAAGTCACTAACAATTTCTTTGACAAAATTCTCATATTCCGGTTCGCAGTAGAAGCTCGAACGGCGAAGATGTCGATAGAGCACCACCAGTGACGCTGGCGGGCTTGACTCCTGCAAACAACTTCATGGATACTCCCTGGGCATTATTTTACGTAAAGTGCGTGCGGTTAACACAAAATACGTCGTCGATTCAAAATGAAGTACAGTGAAATGGGAGGGGAAGGGAAATGAAGAAGAGCGGTGTTGATTGAGTTATTTAAGGCAATTCGTCAAAGGTAAAACTCTGCCAATTGTAAGCACAACCAAGCGTAGGAACTCTTTGGGTCACAAATATAGTCAGCAGGAAAAACTCTGTGCCATGAGATTAGCTACCTTTGGCTACTTAAAAATAAGACCTGGACCAGAGTGATGCCGATGTCGTGCTTCCTCAATAATGTCGCATCTGTTGAAAAATCTAAAAGGCTCCTGGAATGGTTCGGCTATGAATATTGTTTGCTGGGGTGGGACGCGGTAAAAATACAAAGGTGCAAGGGATAAAAGTAGGAAAAATAAATCGAAGAATGAAGATAGAAATGTAACGGAGGGTAACTCGAGACAAAGCTTAGTGGACCGAAACATCTTTATCCTTGCTGTTGCTATTACATATATATTTATATAGATATATGTGCTGTACTTGCATAAACTGTTTTGATTTTTTTCCTGTCTGTATTTATATTGCTGTTTCTGTATGCATGTTTCATTTACTTAATTCCTTTCCAATTCTTTGCACTTACCGTGCAGTAGTTTAGTTGTCGTAAGTCAATGCTTTCCTTCATTTTTGCCACCTCAGCTTTGCCTTCCACATGACGCCACGGCAATTGTCCAACCATATTTTCTACACTGATGTAATAAACGGACCATAAATCATCGTAACGCGACATGTCCTAAAATTACAATCCTCGAGAATGTCGAAAGCTCCTAGAATTAGAATTGTTCTCTTGTGAAAGGTCAGCTTTTTGATTTCATCATACTTCCGCATGTCACCATCTCTCGTGGTAAATACAGGCGGGGCTTCTTCTTAACAGAAGAACAGATGATGTTACAAATAGTCTGTAGTTTACGGTCGAACATAGTTCGAATTATAGTGGCTACAAAAATGATTGAAAAATTCCATTATAACTGTCACTGAATTGTAAAATACGAGAATGGATATTATAAAAGTTGCTCCCTTTATGTTCATGCAAGTCACTTTCAAAGTTATCTTGGAGGTACAATTTATCTTGTACAAAGATAAGTGACATGCCCTGCTTGTAGTATTTTACTTTTTTACGTGGTCATAATGGTATGCGCACTCCACGTCGATGTACTTATACGTTCACGAAGAGATACGCCATGCATCATTCGCTCTATCGCTGTTCCCGTCACAGCTAACGTTTTTTCTACTTTCGCCATTGATCACATTTCATACTCTTGCGTCAGTGCCTTCAGCACAGGATACGGCCCTTTTTATTGAAGAGGCGGATACGGCCCTTTTTATGCGTTTTTTGCACCAATGCAGTGCGAAAAACGCATATTGACGAGAGGTTGTCTATGTGTGTCTGTGTGTGCGCTGGGCCTCTGTACCGATTTTTATGCGTTTTTGCCGTGCAGCGCTAGA